TTTGTAATCCACCATTATGTTTAGGAAGTTAGACAAACATAGATCACCGATTTAAGTGAAATACACAAATATGTAGCAAAGTTATTATGGTTACAAAGGTACAAAAGCACAAAAAAAAGGACAATAATTTGTTTGGGGGCCACACCCAGCGATGCTCAGGGGTTACTCCTGGCTCTGCACTCAGGAATTACTCCTGAAAAGAACATTCTGGAACAGACATGGAATCTTCTACCTCCTTGCCAGGGTGTGTACCTTGAGACAGGTGCCGTGGTAGAACAGTGCAAGGTCCCGCTCCAAGGAGTCCCACGTGGGGGCTCCAAACCCAAGCTGCTGCCAGCTGGGCTCTCCTGGCCACCCCATACCCCAGAAGATGGTTCCCAGTGTCCACTGCTCTGTGCTTGGCACCAGTCAACCCTGACCACTGGGAACTACCAGCACGGCTGCACGTGGCAGCGCCCAGCCACGCTTCGGTGGGGGATGCTTTATTTCAGAAACAGCCAGTTTATGAAGGAGCCAGGTGTCCTGGGAGGGCACCAGCTCAGCTGGACCTGCCAGCTGGGCCCTAGATGAACTTGGGGGAAACCTGCAGGGGCAGCAGTCATGTACCTCCTCCTTTTCAGCTGCACCTTCCATCAAAGCCATTTTATACCTAGTGGAAGGGGGCCCTGCTCTGTTGCGCTGACATGAGACAGTCACACTTGCAAAGCAGATGCTGGGCACACAATTTTGCAGCTTATCCTGCCTCTGGGATGATCTGGTCACTAAACTCGGCTTTTGATAGTCAAAAATAAATAAATTAATTAATTAATTAAAAGGAGTCACTTCTGGCTGGGGTTGGAGGATCGTATTGGGATGACATGGATGGAGCCCAGGTTGGCTGCATGCAAGGCAAACACCCAACCCACTGTACTATTGCTGGGGCACAACAGCACATATTTAATGTTTTCTATATGTCTCTGTCATATTCCTGATCCTTCACCAATGAAAGGAAAAAATTTAAAGCAAAACAAAACCACTAATGTTATCAAGGAGGAAAAGAAATTCAAATGTAGCAGGCATTTATCTGCAATAGTATAGTAAAAGCAATGCTGTAAAATAGAAAAAGAAAAAAACTGAGAAAATCATATGCATCACACTCTTTTCTTTGTTTTTCACAGGGGTGCAGGGGTTTAACCCCCAGAAGTGCTCTGCTCAGATGACTATGTGGTGCCAGGGATTGAAAGGGGTTGGCTGCATGCAAGACAAGCACCTTAACCTCCAGACTATCTTTCTGCCCCCGCATCCTAGTTTTTCCAAACCAGCAAAATAATTTACCTTATACAATGGAACATAAACAATTTTTCCCAGTAAGATAATAGAATTGCAAGTTTTTTTTAAATATTGTGAATAGGTAAAATGTATCTATCATGATAATTCTACAACAGCTATTATACAGTGGAACAGGAACACATATATGGATTCTACGATTGACATGTACTGACACTCTTTGATTAGGCTAGGGGACACTCTAGCCAAAATTAAAAAACATGAACACAGTAGTGCAGAGATTCTTCAACACATTCCTGCTCCCCCATTTTTCTGATCCAGAGTTCTGCATGGTGGAAAAGAGCTTGCCCAGGGCCACAGAAGTTAGCGGCCCGAACCCAGGGCTTCAAATCCCTGGAATAGAGGCCATGAATCCCTTTTAGCAAAGCGGTTTGGTTGTTAGAGAATCTGGGCAGGAGCAAGAACAACACACGGTCACACCAGCTCAGTACTCTCCCCTTCCTGGAAACTGAAGGCTCATTTTGTCTTTTTTTTTTTCTTTTCTTTTTTTGAGTCACACCGGGGATGCACAGCAGTTACTCCCGGCTCTGCACTCAAGAATTACTCCTGGCAGTACTCAAGAGACCATATGGGATACTGGGAATCAAACTCAGGTCGGCCATGTGCAGGGCAAACGCCCTATCCTCTGTGCTATCACTCCAGCCCATCTGAAGGCTCATTTTGGTAGAGCACCTCCTCTATGCGTGCAGTTACAGGGATACAGGAAGAAAAGTGGAGTCGCTCCTACAACTTGCCAGGCAGCGGGGCCAACCTCCAGGCTGGGCTGGTGCTGGAAAATCCAATTTGGACTGAAGTGAGACTTAAACATGAGATTATTATTAGTTGGAAATGAACACCCTGGACCGGAACTGAGTGTTGAAAGTAGGTAAAGGGATATTCATGATAACCTTTCAGCATCTGTATTGCAAACCATAATGCTTAAAATGAGAGAGAAAGAAAGAGAGAGGAGAGGTGCTTGCCATAGAGGCAGGTGGGGGTATGGGTGGGGCTTGAAGGGTACTGGGGACACTGGTGCTGGGAAATGACACTGGTGGAGGGGTGGGTGTTGGAACATTGTATGACTGAAACCCAATCATGAACAGCTTTGTAGCACTGTAGCACTGTCCTCCTGTTTGTTATTCATCGATTTGCTCGAGCAGACACCAGTAACGTCTCCATTGTGAGACTTGTTGTTACTGTTTTTGGCATATCAAATATGCCACCGGGAGCTTGCCAGGCTCTGCCTTGTGGGCAGGATACTCTCGGTAACTTGCCAGGCTCTCCGAGAGAGGCGGAGGAATCGAACCCTGGTCGGCCACGTGCAAGGCAAACAGCCTACCCGCTGTGCTATCACTCCAGTCCAATAGTTCAGTATGACTGAAACCCAATCATGAACAGCTTTGTAAGATAAATAAATAAACACACGAGATTATTAACTGGGGAACAGAAAAGGCCAGAGACAAACTCGGTGTCCCCAGGTCTGGGATCCCTCAAATCTGGGATTCCTCTTTCCCCACCTCAACAGACTCTCCCAAGCAGCCTGGCCCCTTCTGGTACTTTCTGGAGCCCAAGCGGGTCCTTAGCCCAACGCTCCTGGTAATTCTATGATTTTCTGCCAATAGGGCTGATTCGCTGTGGGGAGTGAGCGAGGCTGTGGCACGTTACTGTCTCTGTTGCTCAGGCCCCGCACCGGGACTGCGGTGCTGGGCAAGTACCTGGATCAGGTAGATTCAGGAATATGCCCCGACACCTGTACTCTCTGTACTATCTGTCCCAGCTCCAAATTCCTGACTTCAAAATACCTATAAATGATTCCTTTTTGTTTGGTTGGCTTTGAGTCATACCTGCAGCACTCCGGGCTTACTTTTAAATAGACCTCAGGGATCACTCTGGGCAGGGTTCAGGGTCCATATATGGTACCAGGTTAGCTGCATGCAAGGCAAGCAACTTACTACTGTACCATCTCACTGGCCCCCAAAAATGACTCTTATCCCCACACATGAAAGCTTGTAACTATCTCACGGTGATTCAATAAATTTTTTTTAAATGACTCATCAAATTGCTATCAAAATTTTGTTCCTGTCACAAGAAAAGAACAGTTTGGATCTGTAGCAGGCTGTGTGGTGAAGTGCCAATCTTGCAAACACAAGGCGGACAAGGCCGTGGGCACTGGAAATAAAAGCTGTAACCCCCCTCCCAGCCCCCCCAGCCCCCCCCAACTCCCCAGCATCATAACTAAAAGTATAAACAGCAGTACAGTATGACCCTCGGTGATCACAGGGAAAGCGGGTAGAAAGAGAACTGTTTGCAGACCAACAAAGGCCAACAGCAGCCCATACTTTGGGTACCCTGTCCTAAACAAAAAAGCCTAGAGCCCTTTGCTCCTGGTCTGCTGTGGGGGGTTAATGACTGAATCCTGTCCTCTTCTAAGTCCAGTCCAGAGTGCCAGGAGGTGGTGTGACCAATAGTCAAGGGCTAGTGTGTCTAGACTTCCTGTTGGTACAGAGGAGACTCCTCTGCCCAGTCCCAGTCCTAGGTCAGAGCTATACCAGCCTGGGAAGACCCGCCCCCATTACCCCCCACCCCCACCCCACTGCCTCCCCAGAGTCCCAGATTCCACCAAATGGAGCCTCTAGGCCCAGAAGGGGCTGCAAGATGTTTCAGTCACTGATATGTTCATTCACCCAGGCATCTTCTTAAGCACTAATTTGATACACAGTCAATATAAAAGACAAACGCTGTCTAAAGAGCAGATGGCCTTGCAGTGAGGTGGGGTTGGAAAAAGACTTCCAACTCCTAAAACCCTCATGTGAGTCTCAGTTAACTAATTAGAGCTGTAGCTTTAGGATAGACCAATAGCCTTTCATTTTGAGTTTTGACTTTTCAAGCCTTCCCATAGCATGGAGTTGGGGTTACACCAGGGCTGGGGGAGTGAGTGAGCCATGCCAGGTGGGGGACCTGCACAGGGCAGTCTTGTGCGACAGCGCTTGGAGCTCTCTTCCCCAGTGACAGATCGGGGAATAAAGGACATTTACTAGAACTTACTTTGGTTGGATGCTGTAGACAGAACCAACAGAGGGGTGCCCTGTGAAGCAAGCCCACGGCTTTATGGCCACCTTGGAGGTGGGAGGAGGCGGGAACTCATGTCATGCTTGTTTACTAGGGTAAAACCAGCTGGAGGGGCCGCCAATCAAGTTTCTCTATAATTATTAATGCTTTGAGGGAGAAGGCAGGGCCAGGAGAGAGGGGGCTTCTTGACAGATGTGGACATCAGAGCTCCAGGGCCCAGGGAGTCTATTTAGGGCATGGGTGTTAGCTTTCCGGGGCCACCAGACCCTGAGAAATGAACCCTGGGTCAGAGACTCCAGACTGGCTTGTGAGCCAGAGAAGCCTGCACAGCCAAAGGCTTCAGGCTCAACCCGCCTGAAGGAGGGGCGGGGCCAGACAGTGGGTGGGCGTGGCCACACTGGCAGGGCGGAGCCCTCCTTGAAGACTTTGGGCTGAGACCCTCCTCCTGGTCTCCCATTGGGTCAGTGACTCTTGCAGTCTTGCCACTGAGGGACAAATGAGAGAAGCTTTTGATTCCCGCCCCCTCGGGGCATTCAAAACCCCCCACATAAATACTGAGCAACACACTGCCCCTCTCCCCACTTCTCTGCACTTGGCCCTGCCCTGGAGCTGAGCCTGGCAGGGCCATGGGGGGCCTGAATCTGCTCAGATTGACGGTGGTCCTATGCTCTGTCACCCTCAGTGCCTCTGCCTGGTAAGCCCTCTCCCCTCTCTGGCTCCCAGCCGGAAGTCCCCATGAGCTGGTCTCTATTCACCCCTGCCTTACTTTTTTATTTTCCATAGGTCAGTGAACAATTTCCTGCTAACAGGTCCCAAGGTAGGCTGGTCTCTGGCTCCTGTTTGGCCCATCAGTTTACCCAAAGAAATTCTTTGGGGGAGGGGAGACAGTGCCAGGAGTCTCTCACCCTGATGACCCCACGACTGTCCCGACTGTCCCGGTGGGGAGTAGTCCCCTTGGGCCTGGGGCTGACGCTCCCTGCCCCGCTCCCTCTACCAGGCCTACCTGACCTACACAACTAGCGTGGCCCTGGGCGCCCAGAATGGCATTGAAGAGTGCAAGTTCCAGTTCGCTTGGGAACGTTGGAACTGTCCAGAGAACGCGCTGCAGTTATCGGCTCACAGGCTGAGAAGTGGTAAGTCGGCTGCAGGGGCCTGGGTACCTGGGGGGCTTAGGTTCCGACAGCTCAGGGGCAGAGGCGCTTGCCTGGCATGCCACTGACCTCGGTTCCATCCCCAACACTACATGGTGCCCAAGTACAGCTGGGAGTGACCCTGAGCACAGGTGGGTGTAGATCCCAAACTCCCCTGGCCAAGGAATTGGTGTGTCTATTTAATGTATATGTGTGCTGGTGATTCAATAAATAAATTTATTAAAAGGAAAAAAAAAGTAATGCGGAGTTCATGCCCAATTCAATCAGCCTAATCAATGGCTGAATAAATAACAATACTCCTACATTTAAAAAAAATGTATATGTGCACAGTGAAATGACAGAGTTCTCAGTAACCTGCTGACCTCATGCTGCTGTGTGACCCGCAGGGGGAGGGGCTCTGCCTCAGAACCCCAGTTCTGCTACCTGGGTCAGTAAAGCTAGTTCTGTGGATCTCTCCGGGAGTAAGGGTAGGCTGGTGCGCACACAAAGCTATCTTCAGGAAAATGTGATGATTTAGCCTATTTTCGTTCTACTTATTCTCAGCATGTGATTTCATGATGCTTCCCCTTCCCTCCTTGTTGCTGTTGTCACAGTGACCAAGGGCCACACACTTAGCTGTGGTACTCACCCATTTTTTGGCCACAGTGCTTGCCACATGCACACTTTGGTCATAGTGCTCATCAGACACAAACAGGGAGGTCCCTGGGGTACATCAGCAGTGTGAGCAGTGCCAGGGATGAAACCAATGGGCTCACCTGCAGGGCCAGCACTGTACCTCCCAGCTTTCAGAATTACTCCCTTTTGTTTGTTTGCTTGATTTGAATCACACCAGGCAGTGCTCAGGGCTCATTTCTGACTCTGTGCTTAGAGAACATTACTGCAGTGCTCAGAGAACATATGCAATGCTAAGGACCGAATCCAGGTACCCTGCCCACTGCACCATCACTTTGACCCCAAGCACTTCATTAAAAAATAAAATTCATGCCTATCTCTGAGTGTTCGTTGCACACTTACACTGGCTTACCTGACATAAAGATGGGGAAAGTGGTGAGTGCAGCCTCTGAGGGAGGGAGCTTGCCGTCTGCTTGGCTGTCATCAATCCCAAACACAGGAACACTGGGAGAACACTGTGAGCTCAGGCAGGGTTTATTTATGTACACACACATGCATCTGTATAATGCATCTAACTGTGCACAGTACTTTATTTCTATAGGAATATTAGAGAATTGCCCGAGGAAAGTTGGGTGGGAGGGGATTCAAGAAAATTAGAGAAAGGGCTAGAGAGATAGTACAGAGCATAAGATGCTTGCCTGGCCTGTGACTGACTCTGGCTCAATCCCAGCATCCCATATGGTCCTCTGAGCACCTCTGGTAGTGATCCCTGAGCATAGAGTCAGGTGTGGCCCAAAGAAGGAAAAAAAAAAAAGAAAAGAAGGAAGAAGGTAAAATTAAGATCTTTTCCCATGAGTTGTGATAAAATGGAGAATATGGGCTGGAAAGATAATACAGTGGGTAGGCTGCTTGCCTTGCATGTGGCCAACCTGGGTTTGGTCTGTGGCATCCTATATGGTCTCCAGAGCACAGCCAGGAGTAATACCTGAGTATAGAGCCAAAAGTTGCCCACTGAGTATTGCTGGGTGTGGCCCAGGAACAGCAGCAACAACAGCAATAACAATAAAAAAGCAAAACAAAATGGAAACTATGTGGGAATGAAGCGCAATAGGTTTTTGACTAATTGGGTAAGATGTGAGTTCACTAATGGGTATTCATGACCGCTATCTACTACTCTGCGAACTCTGGCTTCCTGCCAGATTGAAGGAAAGTGTCCCTTGTTGCAAAGCCAGGCTCATGGGGCCAAGTCCCAAAGGACTAGAAAGAGTGCCTAAAGGACAGAGGTGCAGGATGGATATGAGGAAACCCGGGTCCTTGTCCCAACACCAGGATGGGGAGGTGAGCGGCCTGTATCTCCTCACTGTCTCCCAGCTCTTCATTCCTGCCAGATGAAGGGTGCTGGAAAGAGGGCCAATATTCTCCCAAATAGAGGAGATTCCTGCTAAGCCTACAAGGGGGCAGGTCCTCTGCTTTGGGTCATCAGAGGCCAGTTCCTAGCCCTCTCCTTCTCTCCCAAGCCACCAGGGAGACGTCCTTTCTCCATGCCATCAGCTCTGCCGGAGTCATGTACACCATCACCAAGAACTGCAGCATGGGCGACTTTGAAAACTGCGGCTGTGATGAGTCAAAGAAAGGAAAAACAGGTAAGCTGGACTCTCTGAGGGGCGATGAGCATGGAGAGGCAGGGTGCAGACTAAAGTTCCCAGGGAAAGGAGGAGGGATACGGTTCTTTTCAACCCTCTCATCTATAATAGCAGCTTCACTGGGGCTGACCTCTGGCCTTAGGTCTCCTAAACACTGGGGCAGGGCCCACAGCTCCAGGGAGCAGCAGCAATACATTGGGGGAGCAAGGCTGCAGGGGGTAGGATCACACCCAGCTGTGCTCAGGGCTCACTCGTGGCTCTGGTGCTGGGATTACTCCTGGCTCTATGCAGGAGGACCTTATGTGATGCCAGGCATGGAACCTGGGCCTTACATGCAAGGCAGATGCTGTGGCAGTGTGCTCAGGGATCACTGCTGGTGGGCTCGGGGATGGGGGTGCCGGCGATTGAACCCGGGTCAGCCACTTGCTAGGGAAACTGTACAAGGCTATCTAGGAATGGGGAGGCCAAGAGAGTGTTTAAAGTTAAACCAATTTCAGGCTTAGAATGGCTTGTCAGTACGTTAGAGCTTCATGACTAGACACTCGATACTCAAGCAGATTTGACACTGGTAAGAGAGAACGTCAGCTGTCCCAGGAGTTTTATAAAGTTAACGTTTGCAGGATTCCAATGGCACTGGAGCTGCACCATCCAGCCACTCTGATGCCCACTGTTCCTGTGGGCATAGAGATGAAAGGCCTTGAGCTGGGAAGTGCAGACAGGTGGCAGTTGGCAATGGGCAACAGCACTGCCGGCTGCTGAAGGTCCTGCCCCCTGCACCTTTATCCCCTCGCCTGTCCCACCTTCGGTGATGGGGCCCTATGTCCCCCAGTCTGGGTCTCTCTTTGTCTCTTGGGGTTGATTTGGCCACATCAGTCACAGACTAGGACACTGATTCTCTCCTTCTGTCTAGGAGGCCATGGCTGGATCTGGGGAGGCTGCAGCGACAACGTGGAATTTGGAGAGAGAATCTCCAAGCTCTTTGTGGACAGCCTGGAGAAGGGGAGGGACGCCCGCGCCCTGATGAACCTTCACAACAACAGGGCGGGCCGGCTGGTGGGTAAAGGGGGCCTAAGGGCCATCAGGCTGAGTCTGTGCAGTCCTCTCACAGCTGTGCAGAGCTGTCCTGTACTCCATTTCATTCTCCTCTCCCCCTGCAGGGTGGGGACAGTTCACCCCCTTCTCTGCTTGGCAGAGAGAGTGAAGGTCAAGTCCCAGTGATCAGCTAGGGAAGCAGAGTCAGTGAGCGTGAGAGCCAGGCAGTGACCTCAGACCTTCCAGTCCAGTCCTGTTTGGTTGCTTTCCTTTTGTCTTTGGGACACACCGGGCAGTATTCTGGGCTTACTCCTGGCTCTGCTCAGTACTCAGTCCTGGAGGTGTTTAGGGCACTGGTTAGCTGCATGCCAGGCAAACGCACTCCCCACTGTGTTCACCCTCCGGCCCCAAGTGTAGTGGTCCTGCACTCACCCTTGGGCTTCAGCTCCTCCACAGGGATGGACCAAACTTTCATGACTTCACATCTTAAGCACTTGAACTGTCTGTTCTAGGAAGGTGATAGGGCCTTTACCATCCAATCTGTGTCCTAATGTCTATCTGGCTTAGATCCTGCTTTAGGTCCACTGGAGGCCTTTCTGGAAGGTGTAACCTTCAGAAGACTTCAGCTGGGGTAGCCATCTCTGGGCGTTCCTTGGAATTCAGAGCTTAGAGCTTTGAACCCTGTACCTAGATGTCTTGGGTGCCCAAGGCAAGGCAAGGGGCTTTCAAGGCAGTCACAACCATGGGGAATCTGTTTGGAGTAGAGAATCAGACTCAAGGAGTTTTTCTCTGGGAGAGGATCTCAAACACAAACCCCTCCCTCTGTTAATTCCCCTCCCCCAGCCAGCAGCAACAGAGATCTTACTTTTCTCTATTATTTCTGAAGTCTTTCCTTCATCATTCTTATTTCAACAGGGCAGACAGAGAGACACGATCCATGAAAAATAGAACTGGGCCTGGTGCTTCAGTTTTCTGACTCCAGGAACATTTCTCACAAGAGCTGACTTTCCACAGGAAGTGTGGCTTAGAGATAGACACTTTTCCTAACATGCATGAGCCCCACCAACTGCACCGACCCCCCCCCCCCCCACACACACACACACACGTGTACACAGTCCAATGCTGAGATCTTTAAGGATTGGAACAGGTAATTGAGAAGATCAGAGGTCAGGCCCAATAAATATACCCTGCAAGATCCTTTTAACAAGCTTCCCTGGTAATTGTGATATTTCCTTAAAGTTAGGAAGTAATTCCATGTGATTGCTAGCCTTTGGTCTGCCCTACCCCCTTCTTCTCTCTCTCTCCCACTCCTTCTCTCTCTTGAAGGCAGTGAGAGCCACCAGGCAAAGGACCTGCAAGTGCCACGGCATCTCTGGGAGCTGCAGTATCCAGACGTGCTGGCTCCAGCTGGCTGACTTCCGGGAGCTGGGCGACTATCTAAAGACCAAGTACGACCGGGCACTGAAAATCGAGATAGACAAGCAGTGGTTAAAGGCTGGTAACAGCGCTGAGGGTCACTGGGCACCCACCAAGGCCTTCCTGCCAAGCGCAGAAGCCGAATTGGTCTTTCTAGAGGATTCCCCAGATTACTGTACCCGCAATTCCAGCCTGGGCATCCTTGGCACAGGGGGCCGCGAATGTGTGCAAGGCAGCCGCCACACCTTGCAGAGGGGCCAGGGCAGCTGCGGGCGCCTGTGCACAGAGTGTGGCCTGCAGGTGGAAGAGACGATGGCTGAGGCCGTCAGTAGCTGTAACTGCAAATTCCACTGGTGCTGCACGGTCAAGTGTGAGAAGTGCCGGCATGTGGTGAACAGGTACAACTGTGTACACCCACGCAGGGCTTGACACACACACACACACACACACACACACACACACACAATGCCCCCTACCTTGTCTCTCCACTGCCCGCATAGGGCAGCACCCCAGAGCCTGCGCGTCAATTCTTTTGCTCCAGTGTATGCCTTGGAAGGGGACACAGCTCCCCTCTTGAAGACAGTCCATCAGAAAACATTTGGAAAATCACAGGGCCCGTCTGTCAACCTCTTGATTTCAGCCAGAGATGAAGAATGGAGGTCCTGGGGAACCTTCGTGTCTGGATGTACTGAGCTTTCTAGTGTTGGATTTGGGGGTGCTCAGGAAGAGGGCACCTCAAAGTGCTTGTAAGGTTTTTTGACCATGTCCAACTCAGAGTCTGAATCAGGGGAAATGGAAGCAAAAACTGAAAGCATCTGTTCCCATGCCTGATGTCCCCTGGCCAGTCTCTTCTTTTCTTTTCTTTTCTCTTCTTTTCTGTTTCTTTTCTCTTCTTTTCTTTTCCTTTCTTCCTTTATTTTCTTTCCTTCCTTCCTCTCTTCCTTTTACTCCTTTTTTAATTTTGATTCTGGGTTCATGCCCAGTAGTCCTCAGGGCTTACTCCTTCCTGGCTCTGGGCTCAGGGATCACTCCTGGAAAGACATGGGGGGCCAATGGGGTACTGGGATTAAACCCAGCTTGGCTACCTGCAAAGCAAGCACCTTCCCCTTTGCACTATCTCTTTGGCCCAGGTGTGTTGTGATTTTCAACTAATAATGCACTTTAAAAAAATTGTATCAATCATGGGCAAGAGAGGTAGTAAAGCAATAAGGCACTTGCCCTGCATTTGGCTGACCCTGATTCGATCCCCAGAGCTACACATGGTCCCCAGAGCACTTCCAGGAGTGACCTCTAAGCACAAAGCCAGGGATAAGCCCTGACCACCACCAGGTGTGGCCCCAAAACAAACGACAAAAAAAGTTTGCCCACCAAAACCAGAGGAAACCAGAACTCAGCATCACCTAAGGACTTTGCCAGCTCTTAAACTCTCCTGAAGACAAGGAAAAAGGAAGGTGATGCAAGTGACTACAGCTTCAGCAGATACCACCCCCAGGGGGACTCCCTCCAAAGAACTGTAAAGCAACTCTGTCTTGTTATTTTTTTCCCAGATTGGGAACTACTTCTTGTGGCAATAAATGTTTTAGGGGAAAAATGTGTGTGTGTGTGTGTGTGTGTGTGTGTGTGTGTGTGTGTGTGTGTAGCTTTATTTCTCTATTTGGAAACCTTAGGACTAGGAAAGGCTCCAGGGACCCTGCTTCTATAGTTCAGCTTTATTCACACAAGTAATGCACAAGCCCCTTGATATACTATTGGACAGATAAAGTTAAAACCCAGAAGCTGGCTGACAGGAAAACAAGGCAGATTCCTGAATTTGCCTGGTGCTATTTTAATGCAGCTGGTAAGTAACTGGGGAAGAAGAAAGGAAGCTTTGAACTTGAACCAGATTAAAAGGGGATTTGCTCTCTGAACTTGGGCCTCCCAGGGTGTCTGGACGCCAGAGACCCTGGGCAGTGACTAGGAAAGTTGTGGATTCTGCCATCTTCATTTGCACTTCTACACATTCTGTGGTAATCTTTGGGGACAAGACTGGTTTGCCATTAAAAGTCCTGGGGCTCATTCTCTCCCCTTCTAAATGTTTAAATTGAGTATGAAGGCCATACCCCTGCAAGCGGGGAGGTATTTCAGAGATGAAAAGTTAAAAAAAAAATGACTGAAATAAAAGACTGTCAAGTAAAATGACTGAAGGCTGGGACTTGGGTGATAGTGAGTAGGGCGCTTGCCTCAAATGCTGTTGACCTGGGTTTGATCCCCAGCTTCCCATATGGTCCCCAAGTGCAGTGCCAGGAGTAACCCCTGAGCATCACTGGGTCTGACCCAAAAATGAAACAAGAAAGCCTGATGGTGAGTGAGCATGAGAAAACATGCTTCACTTGATGTTTTATGTTAGAAAACAACATGAGTGCTCAAGAGCAGGGTCAACTGAGATTCCATGCCATGACCTACAGTGGAGCATTTACTGTTAACAGTATAAAGGTAAAGGTAAAGGTCCTCCCGTTGTTCATCGATTTGCTCGAGCGGGCCCAGTAACGTCTCTACCATGAGACTTGTTGTTACTGTGTTTGGCATATTGAATACATCACGGGTAGCTTGCCAGGCTCTGCCGTGCAGGCAAGATACTCTCGGTAGCTTGCCAGGCTCTCCGAGAGGGGCGGAGGAATCGAACTCGGGTTGGCCATGTTGGCTGCGTGCAAGGCAAACGCCCTACCGCTGTGCTATCGCTCCAGCCCAACTGTTAACAGTTAACAGTATATTCGAAAGAAATATTGATATGTAATGACAGCATGTTCAGGATGAACCCAATTTTGCTTCTGAAAATAGGCAAACATTTCAAAAACCAAAAAGGTGTGTGTTGGGGGGGGGTGGAGATTCTGGATTGATAGTACAGCAAGTAAGATGCTTGCTTTGCACACACATGGGTTCAATCTTCAGCATCTCATATGTTCCCTCAAACCCACCAGGAATAACACCTGAGCAGAGAGTCAGGAGTAATCCTTGAGAACAGAGGGTGTGGGCCCTCTACCCTCCCCTCCAAATTTTTTTTTTTTTCAAAGAAACAGGTAACGAAAAGAAATTATTTCCCTGAGGCTTAGAGGTGAGATAGGAAAACATTACACACACACACACACACACACACACACACACACACACACACACACAGATCTGAACTTGCAGTTAAACCCCCAGTAAATACAGATGCCAAACGATGAGGCCAGAGAGATAGTATAGCAGGTAGGGCATTTGCCTTGCATGCAGCTCACACAGGTTCGATCCCTGGCATTCCACATGGTCCCATGAGCACCACCAGGAGTAATTCCTGAATGCAGAGCCAGGAGTAACTCCTCAGCATCGTCGGGTAATGCAAAAAATAAATACAGATGCCAAAGGATAAAATCATCATGAAACTTAACTTGTACTACTATACTAGGGAAATGAACCAACTCAATGCTATCCTTTAATTCCTCAACTGAAAATCTATGAGGGGCTGATGACATAGTGGGATAGGAGAGGACATGCTGTATACATGGACCAGGGCCTAGGCTGGCCCTGACACTCAGAAAAAAATAAAACACAGCTGCCTGATGCTGGAGACATCACCAAGTCATCTTGGGAATTTTGTTGTTGTTTTTGTTTGGGGGTCACAACGAGCAGTGCTCAGGGCTTACTCCTGGCTCTGCATTTAGGAATCACTCCTGACAAGGCTCTGGGCACCATATAGGGTTCCTGAGATTAAACCTGGATCAGCTGCATGCAAGGCAAATGCCTCACCTACTGTACTATTGCTCCAATCCCTGTCTTGGGAATTTTAAAATAAAATTAAGTTTGGGGTCCCTAGGTTCAAAGGGTCATTCAAAGAGAATATACCTTGAATTTCCTATGGGTTTCTACTTTAGGTTTTCACTAATAAAACCCAAAACCTGGCAAAGTCAGGAATAGTTCCTCACTTTCCCCCAAACCTTCCAGTCCCACTCTAGGCAAGCTGCTTCTAGCCTCATTCATCTTAGCCCAGGGGCAATCAATCACACTCCACACCCCCCCCCCCAGCCCCCCACCCCCCTAATCTTCCCTCTAGGCCCAGGACCAGAAACCTCAGGAATTTGGATTTCAATATCCATCACCTTCCTCTCAGGGATTCATGACAAGGCATTCAGATGCGAGCGATTTGGGAGATGCTTCGCATCCTTAACAAGCTGGCTTACGTGAAGATGACAGGACAATAAAACCTGTGTTCCACAGATTCAGGGGCCCAAGCTGAGAAATGGGCCACAATCTGACTGGGGATCCTGAAAACCTACTGGAAAAGGAATCTGCTCAAGGAGGGGCTCTCCCCTCACAGGAGTCCCCTGCAGATTTTCAGGGCGCAGGCACTGCTTTGCAAGGCCCACAGGATAGGAGACTTTTCTCCACTTAGACATACGCTTGCTAGTCTCCTGCATCTACTTCTCCTTTGCTGTCTCCTCCTCGTTTTCCTCCTCATTCTCCCGCCTTCTACCCTGCAGGTTACCTTGGCCATGGGTAAAACGAGGGACTCCCAAGAAACTCCTGACACCCAGGCCTGCTCTCAGCCTCTTCCTGACCGGGGATCATTTCTGCTCCTCCTAGAGGTGTCTGCAAACTGAGGGTGGAAAGGAAGGCCCCAGGCACCTCAGGTGTGTGGTATTTATTAACTTCTCCCATCTACCAACGAAGTGTTACAAATTTTCCAGTTTTCCCACTCAGGAAACTATGGCTTGGAAGGCTAAACACCCCCACATAAAGTAGAACACAGAGAAAGAGGTTGGAATTCAGGCTTGCTCTCGTCTAAATTCCACTTTCTGGGGCTAGTGCAATAGTACCCTGGGTAAAGCACTTGCATTGCACACTGCTGACCCAGATTTGATCTCCAGCATCCCATATAATTCTTCCAAGCCCTGCCAGGAATGATTCTTGAGCACGAAGCGGAGTAAATCCTGAGCACCGCCGAGTGTGGCCCCTAACTCCATCCCTGCTAAAAAAGAAAAAAAGACGAGTCCCACTTTCTCACAAACCCTTTACACTCCCGGAGCCTGGCAATCTCTTGAGGGCAGGAGTGGGGGTGGGGGTGGCGCGGCTTTAACGAGACAGACGTGTATTTCCCCGAAGTTGGGGGGCTGGGGGAAACGCTTGAGGCTCTTAGGAAAGACTTCTTTCTCCCTCTGTGACATTCATCCCCAGGGGCTGACTGCTTTGTGGAAGGAGGGTCATTCAAATGCAGAGCAAGGCTTGTTCTTCCACACTCTACTGCAGGGAGGAGAGGCCCATTTCTCAGCTTTGCGCTGGGAGGAAGAAACCTACTTTTGACTTGCAAAGGCTTCCTTAGAATGATAAAGCAGTGAGCCGGCCCCCGCTGGCAAGGGAGGGTGATCCCCGCCTCTCCTGGGGGCCACTCAAAGAAAAGTCCAACCTGTTGGGGT